CACTAGAATGGTAGCAACTAAGGTACAAAAACAACTTTACATTTGTATTGACTGACTATGACTTTGCAGGCCTGGGGCTGGTACTCTGAGCATCTTTTTCGAGGGTAACAATATGCATTATAGCAACTATAAGGGATTTTTTTTCTGTCTTGTTTTTGAAATTCTATATTGTTTTTACTGTTTTATTTTGTCCCATTTTAGTGTTTTTTTATTCCCTTCAAAATAAAAAAATGTTTTTTATAATAAATTGGTAACTATAAATGCAGTGTCTCCCTGAACTTTGTGAGCCTCTGTAGAAATTTTTTTTTTTTTTTTTTTTTTTTTTTTGTCTTTTTCATTTTTATCGGTACCAGGGATCGAACTTACGACTGCCTGCTTGCAAGGCAGGCGCTTATGCCGCTGAGCTAAATCCCCAGCCCGCCTCTGTAGAAATTAATGAAACCCTACACAGAGGCTGTAGGAACCCCAATTTGTAGGTTGCAGGCCCAGGCTTGAAACTGGGTTTTATCTGATACTATTTCCATACAGATAATGTCAGAAGGACTCCCAGCTGGTGTCTGCTACTATGTGCTAGTTGGATGGGGGAAAAACTCACACAAATCTAGTGTCAAAAGTGATCTGTGTTGTGAGAGAATACAGTAGGTGAATTTAGTCTGGTTTTTTTTCTATACAAATTCAAAATCTGAACCTCAAATGTTGAAGATCTCAAATTTTGAATTAGGAATTCTCAACCAACAATTATGCAAATATTTCAGGTTCCAAAAACTCTTGAAATGTGAAACACTTATGGTCCCAACTATTTTGGACATGGGATACTCAACCTATATGAACCTACCATAATCAAACTGAGGCAGTACCAACATAAACAACCATATGCTGACCAAAAAAGAACAGAAAACACAGGGGTGTGTGTGTGTATGTGTGTGATATACGGAGTCTCAATTTTTCACAAGGGTGTCAAGTCTACTCAATGGGAAAAGGGCAGTGTTTTCAACATGGAGCAAAATTACAAAAAATGAATCTGGTTCCTTAAAAGGAATGATTCCATCTAATGAAATGTCTCACAAAGGAAAAAATGCACATTGATAGGAAGAGCCACAAAGTTGAAAACTAGAATAGTATTAGGAGGGCCTGGACTCTAAATTAAGTCTCCTGACCCCCTGGAGAGAGTACCTATCCAAGAAGGTTTACCCCAAAAGATACCTTTAAATTCTGAGTTCATTACCAGAGTAAGGACATTTCTGGAGTTACGACTATTCAAGTGGTACCATTTGAGGGCAACCACAAATGTCAATTCAGCTGCTAAGCCCTAATGGTCTAAGGTCTTTTAACTTTGACTAACAAAGTTTCATGAAGAAGGGGACTAGAAGAATACTACAAGTCATGTAAATAAAACCAAATGCACATAAAGCCTTAAAGCCTGGCATATGCATTACTGAGGGCACAAACGTGTAACATCCCATCCTGAACCAAGTGATGAGGTTACCACCAATGTAGAAAAACAGGAGGCTGGAAACAACTTCCTGTATTTTTCTGCTTTTATGTTTCAAACCTATGTAATTCTGTAATTCAATTTCTTCACCTTAGCTTCTCAATTTGAGGCAAGTCTGGGTGACTCAAAGTTTCAATCCTCAGTATTACAAATAAATAAACAAATGCAGAATTCTAGGTCTCCCTATGTAACAGATAAAGAAACCAAGTTCTAGACATATTAAGTAATTTATCCAACATTATATAACCAGAACATGACATTTCCAGTCCTACAACCTGGGTATGTTTAACTCTCAGCCTAGAGTACTTTGTCCTTTGTTTTGAAGACTCTCTTCCTCACCTTTAAACCTAAGGAAAATGAATCCCACAAAACTTTCCCTTCTTTTTCAAATAGAAATTTTCCTTACTCTATCAATATCAGATATTTAACTATTTTAATGACAGAGATGGATACATATATGTTCCCCACTGCCTAACAGGAAGGCCGTGAACCATGCATGACTTACTTGGTTTGTTCATCAGATTAGGCAAAATGGTAATAAAAATGACGATAGAAAAATACAAAACAGCAGCTACTGGCATTCACATCCTCACATGCCTCTTTCTAAAGGCAGCTGATAAAAAGTCATGCAGAATGGCCCTCATGGGCTCAAACACTGAGACCACTGAAAGAATATTCTGTTTTAGGCGCAAACTGCATTTGTAAGAAACCCTCACTGAGAAAATACAAATGCTTTGGACCAACTACTGTGATCAAATCACAACCTGAAACAGTAAGAATTTCAAAATAATAACAATAAACCTCTTTTTCTTTATATGCCAATTAGGAGTTGTTTGCCTTTCACCTCAGAACTCACTACTTGTCTGTGATGCAGACCTGTATTCTAAACATATTTCAACATTTGTGGGGCAATATGGCTTACACATGTAATTCTTGCTACCTGGGAGGCTGCAGCCAAAAGCTCACAGGTTCTAGGTTAGCCTGGGCAAATCAGAGAGACTGTGTCTTAAAACAGGGCTGGAGATGTAGCTCAGTGCTCCTCAGTTCAAGTGGTAAATATTCGTTTTAACTGGCACAGTGTTAAAACTCTGTCAAAAGAGGGCACTGTAGAGGTTTTGCTTTCTATGAGTTTGGCAACAAGATCCTACAGTTCAGATAGCTTCTCCAGTGACCCTTCTGGGCAGAGCTTTAGTGCCAGTCTTCGGCTGCAGTGCACATTAGGCAGCAGTACCTGGTAGCCAAAAGCTATTCCTAGTATTCTCTGGCAGGTTTATACCAGAAAGCCTCTTCAAGAAACCTCCCTTAGAAATCGTTATTCCCAGCACATCACAGAGAGAATAATTCTGGCAAGTTCCACAGGGTATATTTCCAGTAAGTTTCACTGACACCAATGCAGCAAAATACAGCAGGCCATCTCCAAGGAGATCCAGATCTTAGCTCAGAGTCAGAACCGTTTCTTACCTAACACTAGGAGGTCTTTCAGGATTTGTATGCTTATATTTCAAGGTGTTACTTTAAATTAAGAGTGTCAGTTGGGATATTTCCAACATCAGTGAGGAAGACGACAACAGAAATTTCTGCAGCAAATCTTGATTGCAGCACAAACTATTCTACCACTTGGGACTCGTGATCCAACAAATCCAATGCTGCCTGAATTATCGTTGGTAACAGAAGGCAGAGTGCACTCCAGTAGCTCCTAGCAAATTTCTAGCAGGTTCCATAGAAAGAACCTTAAAACAAGTTCCAAGTGTGGCACCACAGTAACTTTCTTACCTTCAGGGGAGCCACAACCTTGGTATCAGTCAGCCCTAGTGGAAGCAGCTGCTCTGTATTACCTCTTTTCTTATACTCTTGAGTTTTTCTTTTTTAGTCAATCCATCATTACTTCCATCTCATGTTATACTTAATAATCCTTCATGTTAAACTTTTTAAATTCAAATTACAGCAGTTTTTATCTACTGATTAGATATAGATATATATAATACACCTTACTGATAGATTAGGTAGTTCTGTTCAGTATATACCAGTGTACAACCAACAGAGGGCCGGGGATATAGCTCAGCGGCACAGTGCCTGCCTTGCAAGCATGAGGTCATGAGTTCGATCCCCAGTACCAAATAAATAAATAAATAAAAACCAACAGAACTTCATTTAAACAATCAAGAGTTCATTTTGTCCTGTTTTCAGTATTTAAATCTCAAATATGGAAATGATTTAGTCCAAGTTTAATTACAACATTAAATCCATGCCTTTTTTTCTTTTTCTTTTAATATTTTGAGATGGGTTTGCTAAATTGCCTAGACTGGGCTTAAATTTGTGATCCCCCTGCTTTAGCCTCTTAGAGTAGTAAAATGCCATATGGCATGATATGCAACCATGACAAATTGATTTTTTTTAATTCATTGACAGAATTCCTTAACAGTCTAATGATGATCTTGCAAACTATAGTTCTTTTGCAGAGGAGCATATATTTTTGAAACAGGGTCTCACTGTGCAGTTCAGGCTGGCCTCAAACTTGCAAACAATTCTCCTGCTTCAGCCTCCCAAGTGGTAGGATTACAGGAGTGTCCCACCATACTTGGCTCGCAAACTGAAGTTCTTTTTCTAAACTTTTAATAGTCTAAACTATGACTATTCAACTCCCAATTTATAGTTGTCAGTTACAGAATTATTTTTAGTAATTCTAAGTCTCTTACAAGTCAAGCTCTGAAAGGCCTAAAATATGGAAGACAAAATTAAAAGCAATGGTACAAGAGTAATTTCCATTATCAAAATAAGCAGCTCTTACATATAAATACTGACAAGCTCAAACAACAAGTGTAAACGTTATGGACTTGTCTCTCTCCACATTCCAGTAAGTGACTTTGTAATCCTAGCCAGCTTTTACCCACAAGCAAACCCAAGCAAGCATGTGATGATGGGATGGTGCAAACTAAACATCTTGGGAAATAGCTTAAAATGCGGAAGAGTCATAGTGACACCTTCTTAAACCAGTGTCTAAATATTGTGCCTGTTAAGTACAAAAGCACTAAGGAGGAGTTCACAATCCCATAACAATTCAACAAAAACTTCAGCCTAACAAATTCAATCATCTACTTATAAAACTCCCACCAAAATTGCTCAAAAGAAAAGACACTTCTTTTTAACAAAAGTAGAAAATAATCACCAACATTATATCAGAAAAGGGTTAGGAGACTTACAGCATATTAAACATTGAAAACTGAATTAGTGTTAAATGTTTTTTTAAATGAATTTTAGAATTTCTTAAACAATAAAAAACTAAAAGTCAAAGACAATTAATTTTTCATCAACCCAAAATTAAAGGCATGAAATTGTTACAGTGGTACACTAGTAGGAGTGTTTGAAAAGATGCAAAAGTAAAGTAGAAATTAATCTGTAAGTAATGTTTTATGATACTGCTTAAAAGTCAGCCTTAATAGTCTGCTTTGGAAAAACAGTATTTCTAAATCTACATGAAAACTTCTTTTTGTAAAAACATTTTTCTTACTTGAGAGAGTCCAGGGGACGACGCATGTCCCGGGGGCGTTGCTGCAAGATTCGAATGCCCCTTGTTTATTTCATGTGCTGAATAAGGGCAAGGGGCCGGAGGTCCAGGCTGCCGTGCTACTTGTGTTACCTGCGAGTACACCAAAATGTAGTAAGAACATTATTTTTGAGTAACTCAAATCTTAGTACATATAGCTGAACTGGTTGGCTCATCTTTAAAATTAGATTTTCTGCTTCACAAGATGGAATAAAGCCTAAATATTTAAAAATATATATAAGGGCCAGGGATTTAGCTCAACAGCATAAGCACCTGCCTGGCAAGCACAAAGTCATGAGTTCGATCCCCAGTGCATAAATAAATATATAAACAAATAAACAAATAACTTTTAGAAAAAGAAACATTAATATTTTCATCAATTTGATAAAACCAAAGATCTTAATGGAAAAAATATGCCAAATGAAAGACATCAGACTTCAAAATGCTTAATATAAGATCTTAAAGAAAAAAATATGCTAAAAACAGACTTCAAAATACTTAATGTATGATTATATTTTGTGAAAGGAATGGAAATAGGATAAATGGTCGCATGAGGAAGGAAAGATTACTAAAAGTGTATGTGCAGGGAGATTTTTAGAAGAGACGTAACTTTCCTTGTCTTCAACAGTGAAAATTACATGACTTGATGTGTTTGTCAAGACTGATGGAAAAAAAACACTATCCAAGATGAATTTTACTTTACTTGTACTTGAATAAATCTGAATCAAAAAAAGGGCAACTTTTTTATACAGTATATGCTCAATTTTTTTAAAAGGTACATCTAAATATATATAGGTAGATATATTTCTATATACATATTGTTCTACTTGTGTGAATAGATATAATGCATACAAATATAACTAATATTTAAAATATCTATAAAAAATATACAAAACTCTCTTTTTTCTCTCCCTTTTGTGGTGCTGGTATTAAACCCAGGGCTTTCATACGATAGTGCTCTATGATAGACAAGTACTCAACAACTGAGCCAGATCTCCAGCCCAGGAGATCCTTAAATCCTAATGGTATTTTACATTTTTCTTTTCTCATTTTTATTTTTCAATGAAATAAAAGTGATAAATTTGTACGACAGAAAAATAAAAATAATGTATTTTTATGTAACCAAAATTATATTTTCCCAATTTCTTGCTGGCAATAAATTATCAACCTAAAAGCACTTTACTTAGGAACCTCTCCAGAGCACATGAGCAATCTTAGCTGGCTCTTCTGTTACACAGTCTAACTCAAATTGACACCAGCAATTTGGTAAATCTCCAATTTGGCAACTCTGTAACCAAATATGAAAGAATTCATTCTCCAGAGACCTCTTTACAAGAATGCTTGTAAATGTATAAAATATAATATATAAGATTACAGTAAAAATCATTTGTGGACAATCCCTAATTTATAATGGCTCAACATCCTACTTTTTTGCTTTACAATGGCACAAAACTATATAATTAGTATTACTCACTATCAATACAAGCAACAAATCACATGAGATAATCAACACCTTATTATAAAATAGGTTTGTATTATATAATTGTGCTAACTGTAGGCTAATATAAATGTTCTGAGCTATATAAGCTATACTACAATGTTTAGCAGATTACGTAAATGCATTTTCAGTTTACAAAAGTTGTAACTTACGGTGGGGTTTATCTGCACATACCCTATCATAAGTGATGAAGCACTCATGTAGGTAATAAAATATTAAAACAAATTCATGATATACTAATACAAGTGTTCTTTATTCATACAGTATGGCAGATACTACCTGTATTTATTGTTCAAAGAATAATGAAATTCAGTGTCACCCCTTTCATTCATCTCAGTTCCAATACCTCCCGAATTCTATTAAAAACAAAAAATTGAGAGCCGGGCATGGTGGTACATGCCTGTAATCTCAGCACTCAGGAAGCTGAAGCAGGAGGATTTCTGTGAATTCAAGGGCAACCTGGGCTTATGTTATGATTTATGTTTAGACGTCTTCCCAAAACCTCATGCAATCATACATGGGGTATTTTCAAAGATGGCTGGATCTAGAGTATGCAATGCTAGGATTAAGTGTGGGTGATTAAATAAAAAATAATTACAGAGAATGATTAGTATTTGCTGGGGTTTTTTTTCTGAAAATTCTTTCAGAGCCATTTTACACTGCCCATAAGACACAAATGTTTGAGTCAAAGAGAAAATGCATTTTACTAAGCTAAAAATATGATTTTTACTACCATCTCAACTACAGAAATAGGGAGAAAAGGTGTAGAAAGGCTAAGTCTATACCTGGCTAAAATCCCGTCTCAAAATATACAACTCAAAAGTGTATGTAGCTCTAGGTGAAGGCTCTATGTTCAATCGCCACTGTCAAGATAAGAGGAGGAACGAGGAGAGAGGAAGGAAGGAAGAAGAAGGGAAAGGGAGAAAGGGATACTGATTTGCCAACTACATAAAACACCTCCAAAGATAAAAGGATTTGTCTCTTTTACAATATTAATCTTAAGCAAAATCAACAAGCATTTCTTGAAGTGCAATATGTATTATATTTAAATTTGGAAACAACTGAAATGCTCTATAATAAAATGGATCAATAATCAGACACTATTTTCCTCTAACAAAACGGAATAAAAACTAGTGTAATATAATTTAGATGACTTTCACATAGGGGTACATGAACACTATAACTCACTTTATAAGAAGTTTCCTGGGGCTGTAAATATGGCATTGATGATCCTGAATTGAATGGGGAGGGGTACAGAGGGACCCACAGGGATATCATAAAAAATTCCAAAACAGGCAAAACTTGACTGTAAATCTATAGAACCATGAATGGATAACAACAATGGGAATAAAACAGGGAGGGTTTCTTGTGTGTTTGTTTATTTAAGGCAGATAGTACTGCCTCCAGGAAGAGAAGTTGTAATAAGAAAGGCTCGATAAGGTTTTACTGTTCAAATTAACAAACGACACACTTTTATCTATTAAACTCTTTTTAAATTTTATGTAAGTTTATACTATTACATTATAATTCCCTTTTATTCCACCTATCTCCAAAAAAGATTAAAGAAAAGCAAGCAAACCACGTAAGACTTGGGATACAATGTTAGTTCTACTGTTATTCTGCAGAGTAAAATGAATTCTAAAAGAAAAGTAATAACACTAATAGAACAAAGAAAAATCTTTAAAATTCTTACAATGAAAACATCAACTAGCTAGTTAATTTTCATTCAAGGTTTCTACATAAAAATTATCTCCCATGAAATCACATTTGGTGATTATTAACCAATATAACTTGAAGGATCTTTTTAAGATACCCAACTCCCTAAAATAAATATACCCTACAAATATGTACTAATAAAAATTTTAAAAATAAAAATTCTTTGATGAAAATAAATTGTTAAGATTTATCAAAGATAGTGCAAACTAAAATTAGCAATTAGGTATAGTAAAATTAGTACTAGTTTATCTGATATGATAAAATACTCTAGCTAGTTAAGAGCTACAATTTTTGGAAAAATAGTTACAATATAGGAAAAAAGTTTCCGGACTATGACTGTTCTTCTCTGACTCCACAGCAATGAAAATAGTGACAGGCAGGAAACATGGTGGTTACTGGCAAGATGTAAAAAATAAGAGTCTAAGCCGAGGGATTTAATTTAGCAGCACAAACACCTGCCTGGCAAACGTGAGGTCATGAGTTCGACCCCTGGTAGCAAACAACAACAACAACAGGATCTAGGGTCCATGGTGGACTGGAAATAGCCACACACATGCGCACCCCCCAAGAGAAGACATGTAGACCCTCCTCTATTGCCAAGCGCTACAATGCAAGAATTTCAGCTAAATAATGATTACATTCTTCCAATTTTTCTACAGAAACCAGCCTTAACTGCATAGTGAAACCCTGTCTCAAAAGACAAAAAACAAAAACAAAATGCTATACAAGACACATAAAGCATTTTATCTGTATATAGCACACAAGTAATCAGTATGTGGCGCCAACTCTACTATACCTCATGACTATCACAAGATATGAACTCTCTCCAAGCACTAATATATATAGACTTGTAACTGGCAGATGAGTATTTACCAATTGATAAGTACACTGTTAAATATCACACACACAGAGCATTGTTTTATTGTATATGCATGATACATCATAATTAGAAAAAGGGTAACAGGAAAACTACAAGAGCCTACTGATTTTTCTTTTAACCAAACTAATGATTCCTATAAAAGTAAATGGTACATGGTTTACATCTGAGAAGGCATCATTTACTTCTTCCCCAAAATGAAGCTCACTTAGTGAGATCATCTAAAAACAATACAACAGCTGCAATTCCCACACAGAAATGACCAAGTTCACTTGGGGGTAGACTGTAAAAACCCCAAAACTTTTGTTACAGGGCTAATTTCAATACTCTGTGCTCCTTAAGCAACACAATGGGTTTAAACTCCCCCGCCTATTAGTTTTTTATTCCATCCTTGTATGTCCCTTACATTATTTCCTAAAACATACAGATACTGGAAGATTAATAAAAGCTAGTTTATGCAATTAAAAAAAACTATGAGAGTGGATACCATGAACTTTTATTCAGTATCATGACATTTTTCAAATTTTCCCGGACATTATCGTTATTAATCCACACCAAGACAAAAAGAAAATACCTTTCCTCTTTATTTTACTATTAGCTGTATTTATTAGGCTGAACTTCATAAAATTCTATATATTAAAGTTTTGTTTTGGATTTAGTTTTACTTTTTTAATACAGGGTCTCATTATGTAGTCCTGCCTAGGACTCAAGATCCTCCTGTCACAGCAGTTCAAGTGCTAGAATTACAGACATGTGCAAACATCACAGCTGGCTTTCATATATTTGCCTTTTAAAAACAATAACTGTATGATTCAAATGATACTTTAATCCGTAAGTAAAGAGATGTAACATTTGATATTTGCTCATTATGGAGTAAGCACTGTTGAATTATAAGGGCTGCTTTCTTCATATTTAGAAATTGGCCAATAGAAATAATAAAAAGGAACAGTTATTTTTTCTGTTAGGATGAGTAAAAGAAAAAATATCTACACTCCACAACTG